TCTTCCGATCTCCCCAAAACCCCAAAACCCCAAAACCCCGATGATAAAATGGCTTAAAATTGTTACATGTTATAGATTTAAATTGATTTCAATAAAATGAACGAGGAGGTTAGTGAAGATTAAGTTGAAAGAAAGAACTCTGTTATTTTGATAGAAGATGTAAAGGTAGAGGCAGATATTGCAGAGATACCTTAGGAATAAATTATCTAGATTCTATTCAAGATTCCTCAAGAAAATATTGCGAATATTTAGTTGAAATTCGCTGCAGATGTCACTGTTGAGTTCATGAAAAAAGAAATAGCCAAGTGTCATCCTCTAAAGCCAACTCCATAAAAGCAAAAATTCCTCTATGCTGGAAAATTATTGAATAATGCAGATATTCTTAGAGATGTGATAGGATAGGTAAATTCTGAAAGCTGTAATATATATATAGAAAATAAAAGAAAAGCCTCCACATATCTTTCACTTGCAAGTATACACGAGAGTCAATTATGCCTAACCAAATCTAGACCAACACGTGTCTGAAAATGGAGTTGCAAACGATAGAATGGGATAATAGTAATCTTAAAGGAGAAACATAACTAAAGAGGAAATAGTAATGATTAGGTAATCTTTTAAATTTTGAATAGTTTCTGACTTAAAAATACTTAAAATATGAGAGAGAACTTATAAGTGAGTACTAAAAAACAATTCAAGACTTAGGCCAGTATGAAAATATAAGGTTTTAAATTTTATTTAGAAAGAGACTGATCAATACAGACTATGATGCTTTTGGATATTATCAACAGCAAGGATTGGATACAAATATGCCTGCTAAATCACACATGCTACTTTCTACTTTACCATTAATGGAGAAGGGTTTTCAGGAAAGATTACACTTTTACACCACTGCAAACAATATAAGTTCAAATGTTAGTGAGTTCAATGAGAATATCGCTATTAGATTCCTTGGCTATGATTCTATTATTCAATTTACATTCTTGATAAAATTATGTATGTTTATGCTTATCTTTGGAATGAATGCACCTGGCATGTATAGATGGATCATAATTGTATTCTTGATATTCTATTACTTGTAAATTATCTTAAAAAATAATAATAATAGCCATCATGTGAGGACATTATACATCGAGCACTATGATAGATAAAGAAGAATGCTAAATTTGGAATAAAATTAAGGTGATCAAAATAATGAAGATGCAATGATGATGAATAATCTTCTAGGTGGACTATTAAATCCAGATTAAAATGCTTAACAATAGCAATAAAATAGAGAAAGATTTTTGCCGCTAAGAATGTATATTTACAAATTTCCTTAATTTATTGCTTTAGTTTAAGAACATCATTCATTCTGGTATTCCACTTTTTCTTGAGCTTGCATCCAGATTGGATTGATAGGAGACTAAGGCTTTATGAAAGAGCAAGACTCATTGAATAATAACTTCAATAAGAGCAATAAAGATAGTAATAGCAGTAGTAGAATTAATAATAGTAGCAGTAGCAAGAGAATATTAATAATCAGGGATCTTAATAAGAATAATAAATTCCAGTATAAAATGAGGAAAGCAAGGACTAATAACTTCAAGATCCCTTATTTGATTTAGACAAACAGCTAAATCCAGAATTCAATGATGTACTATTCTAAATTAAAGATGATCTTTAAAATTTGAGACTCAATACTGAGGTCAAGGGTGAAATATAAGATTAGAGAGACAAAGAAAAAGTAGAGTGAGTGACATTATAAGTAAACTTTTCTTAATTTTAATCATATTTACGATGATATGATATGTCGTTGATTATTTAATTAAAATTCTTAAGTTAAATAAAATAAGCAATCATTTGATTTGTTTAAAATCACTTTTAGAGAATATAAATATATAATATGGAGAACTAAGCATTAGAGATCATCTCGAACAGGCTGTACTGGATTTCAGATCGTAATCCCCCAAAGTCAAGATCACATGCCTTCTACTTCTGCATCGATAACGACCTCGTCTACGAGCCATTTTTTGCAGACTTTGGACCACTTGATTTAGGAAAAGTGCATCTATTTTGTAAAGAACTTGAAAAATTGATGGCTGATTCTCAATATGCTCAATACAAAATTTATCACTACACCTCCCTTGACTATGCAAAGCAAGCTAATGCTGCTTTCTTAATGGGATGCTATATGATTATCAATCTTAAGAAAACTGCTGAAGAAGCATGGAAGGTCTTCGCTCCCTACCACAATAAATTTGTTCCATTCAGAGATGCCACAATGGGAACTTGCTCCTACAAGTGTATCATCTTAGACTGTCTAAGAGGATTAGAACTTGCTATGAGACTCAACTGGTATAATTACTCATCCTTTGATGTGCAGGAGTATCAACATTTTGAAAAAGTTGAGAACGGCGATTTGAATTGGATTGTTCCAGGTAAATTTATCGCTTTTTCAGGTCCACTTAATGTGACAGATAAATACGGATCTTTTACTCCAGAAGATTATGTGCCCATATTCAAAAAATTCGGAGTAAGTCTAGTAGTTAGACTTAATAAAGCTCAATATGACAAGACAAAGTTTACAAAGGCAGGAATAAAGCATACCGATTTGTACTTCCTTGATGGGTCAACCCCACCTGACAACATCGTAGATCAATTCCTTGAGGCAGCTGAAAAGGAGAAAGGAGCAATTGCTATTCATTGTAAAGCTGGTCTTGGTAGAACTGGATCTTTGATTGCATTATATTGTATGAAGCATTTCGGATTTCCCCCTGCTGCTTTCATCGGCTGGATCAGAATTGCCAGGCCTGGCTCTATCCTTGGCCCTCAGCAATAGTACTTGATATAAATGGATGAGAAGATGCTCAAGGCTGGAGGTGATGTCAAGAGACGTGAACTCATCAAATAATTCGAGGAGCTATCTTTGCAATAAGATTTTGATAGAACTAAGATGAATGAGGAGGAAGAATACAAAGCAGTCAAGGGAGACAAAAATCAAGCTGAAAGGCTATTAGCTCAAAAAAGAGGATTCTAAAAATAATGAACTTGAAAGTATGTTAGTAGTATAAGATGGGCTTGAGCAGTCAGGGAAGAATGCTCAACTGTCTATTTTATTTATGCGCCTTATATTTTTATTTATAGTATTCAATATCAAAATATCTTTTTATAAATTTCAAAAAATCAACCCTATTGGGGTTTTGGGGTTTTGGGGTTTTGGGGAGATCGGAAGAGCACACGTCTG